GGATCGATCTTACACTAAAACTAGACTAGATTTGAAACCAAACAAGAGGGAGATGTATACCTGATACAAATTTCACAAATGTAGCTCCCAAGGTAGTTTACACCCAAATCAAATCCCAAAACTAGCTTCCACTGAAAAATGGCACAGCTGGGAGTGAAGCTAGTTCAGCAATATTGTTTTCAACAAAACTGCAATCAAACTCTTTGGATTGAATAGGGGAGGTGAGCACGATTTTTCTTTGTATTTTTCTTGCAAAAATGGGAGAAATAACTAATCAATATCAGTCCCAAATACTATGATCGAACTAGGGGGTTTCTTGGGCGACAAGAGGAGAAGAGAGAAAGCTGAGAGGTTAAGAACATTCTTTGGCAGCACATCAATTTTAGCCTTGACAGGATTAATTCCCCAAGTCTATCCAATGGCTAAGAACATTCTAAACTAACACGAGTCTCATAAGTGTCCAATTTAAGGGGTAATTTCACAGAAACATACCAATCTCAACATGAAACAACAATGTACTTTTATTCATTTACAATAAATATATTTGTACCTCAATCTGATTGGAGCTAAGGGCATACACTGTCTAACATTCACTGCCGTTGGCTCACTATGTCATAAGGTAGGAGGGGAACAGTGTATATTCTCGGGTATTAGTTCATTAGGAGAGAAAGAGAACCGAGAAGAGAGGGGAGGAGAGAGAGAATGTGAGAAGAAGATGGAAAGAGGAGTTTGGGGGAGAAGAAGCCATTGCTAGGTTGCTCGATTTTTTAGGTTGAAGGAGATGAAGGTGAACAATGAAGTTTTTGGTCAATGTTTTAGTTCGATGGGGAGAAAGAGAGGGAAAGGAAGAGGGTGAAAGGAAGGTATGTTGCTATTGGAAGTTGCAACAATGGCGGTGRTGTGTCAATCCGAACTAACAAGGCAAATAGGGGAGGGTTTTGGAGGCTTTTGCAATGTCTTGCTTCGAGTGGCACCTACCGCGAATATTTTAGCTTACCCAACACCCACTACCATCTCCTACCCTCTCTCTCTCCCTCTCTCTCTATCTATCTCTCTCTCTCTCTACAACCGAAGAAGAAGAAAGCAAAAGATAAAAAAAAATGAAATTAAAAAAGAGCTTCTAAGTTTTCTACTTGAAAAAAAAAATCTTCTTTGAATCACTAAGAACTTCTTCCCTACAACTATAGAATTTGTTCTTCAGATCTTCTTTGAACTTCCAAATTTTCTTCGTCCCTTTACTTTTCCCTCTGTTAAAGCGCCATTTCTTCAAGTATGGTGGATTTTTCATCCATCCTCTTGCCTTGCACTTCTGTTTCACTCTTTCTAATCTGGTTCGTCAATGTTGCTCTATGGTTAATCATCCTAGCTCAACTCTTTTGCTTTGCTTTTGTTTGTGTTTCAAGTTTGTTTTGATAGTGATGTTTTTTCTTCTTTGGCATTTCTTACTTATCTTATGAAGGTATCTTTTTGGTTCTTTAGTCCACATTGGTCGCTTTGGTTTAAGCCTCTACAATATAGATTGTATTTTGTATTCTGTTTGCTCTTTTGTTCGAATTAGCAGATGAAGGAGGAGGTTGGACATAAATGCGGATGAAAGAAATGGAGTTCTTTTTTCTCCTTTTCATGGTTTTCCCCTGATTTGGAGTCTGAAGTTGGGATTTAGCTTCTGTTTTATTTTTATTGTATGAAATCCTTTTCAACCCACCTCCTAGGCCTCATGGACGTCGTAGCGAGGGGACCAGCCAGAACGTTCCTAGGGAATTCCCCACCATTGAGTTTGAGTAATTGTCCGATGGAAGTTTGAAATGATGGGAGGGTGGCCTGAACATCATTTTTATGCCACCATTTTGATGATGGGAGAGAGAGAGAGACCGGACAGAGACCGAAGGGGGAGGGGGAGGTCTGAGAACCTCAACGACCAAAGAAGGTTTTCTAAACAATGCCAGTGTTGAGATGAAGGGGACGAGGGTAATATTGGGTTTTAAAAAATTTATAGGTCACGTGRTCACATGTGCACAGATTGTGATGGTGCGCTAACGGATGCTAATGGTAGAGGTAGAGCTAGTCAATTGTCAGAAACAGTAGGGGTAGTGTTAGACAATAGTCAAACAGTAAGGGTATACTTAGTCAATTTCACAAACAATAAGGGTAGTTTAAGAAATTTACCCAATACAAAAATACTATACAAGGGTATCAAGGGTATTTATATACTCGTAGAGTTAGTCTATACAAGGTAAGACTATACCATGGGAATAGGATAATGGGTCGAGTAGGCCTTAGGCCAAAATATGCCAGACTAGGAGCAGGTTTTCATTGGGTGAGTTCTAAGGAGAATTGATTGCACAATATATAGGAGGATGGGCAGGTTGAGGTGAGGGTGACAAAGGTCCAATAGAGGTAACTATTGCAGGTTCAGTAGATGGAATAGTGGTAGTGGCAGGGATCACTGTTGTCAAAATCTTACGATTTACGATACGATTCTCGATTTGATTCATGAATCCCAATGGTTTCAATTCGAATCTTATGTCCAAATCCTTTTCAACAAAAATCCTATGATTTTTGTTTGAATCCTATGATTTAATTCATAAATCTTATGATTTCTACGATTCACAACTGTGAACGTTGGAAAAAAAAAATCTGGTTGTTCACCTCGTGACCGAGCAAATGGAGTCACCACCCATCAAAATACATAGTTGGGAGTGATGGGCTTCCCTAATTTATATTTCATAAATAAATTTGAAATTAATAGTGACTCCACTCCATTTGTCCTAGACAAGGCTAGCTAGGTAAGTTAAGAGAGAGGGAGAGGGAAGAGGTTAGGCACCCCTCTCTCTTATCAGTGTGAATGCAAAATCCCTTTCTTAATTTAAATCTGAATTGGAGACTCGGATCATCCAGCAGTTCCAAAGGATGCTCCCCTCCATACTTCTAGACCAATCCCCTTTTGGATGCAGGGGTTTGAGCTAAAGGGTGAAAGATTACTCCCTTGCCCCTTTTCTATCAAAGCCCCCACCTTCAGACTTAGTTGAATGGCTTGACGTGAGGGRAAGCACAAACCTCTCAGACTACTAGAGAATGTGTAGTTTCTCATATTCTAACTTGAATGTAAGGCAGGCAAAGAAAAGTAAAGAAACAAATAGACACATAACTGAAGCAAAACTAGGGACTCAGGGATATGAGGTAATCGCTTTCTACCTCTTGTGACCTTGGATGAAATAACAATGCTATAGTAAGCTATAGGAATCTAATCTCTGTGGAAAAATGGATTTTAGATAGCAATGTTTCAACTAAATTTCGAACAAGAAAACGAAAACAATAGGGCCTGAACCATTGATGGAAGAAAAATAAAAGATGGTGTGAATCAGGGACACTTCGCTGTTGAATGCTTCAAACACTAGGACGTCCTTCTGAAGCTTGTTGAGAAAATACGAGATTAAAGCTCCAAACTATGTTCTTTGTCTTGTTAAGGATTGTTTTCAGCCCATCTTCCCTACTCCTTTTTTTTGTTCTTCGACAAAACCTTCTCTCATTGCCATCTCTTCTCCTCTTGCACTCTCTTTCTCTTTCTAGGGAACCCGCTTTTGCTCTCTTTCGTCTTCTCTGTTCGAGGGATTCTTCCTCTCGTTTTTCTTTTTGTTTTCTCTCACGTTCTCTATAATCTTCCTAGCCGGTGGACCCCTCTCTGTTTTTATTCTATTGCTCAAGCTCTCTCTTAAACTCTCTCCCTCTCTCTCTTTCTCTGCAAACCTTTCAAAGCTCACCGAGTTACTTCAGGTCTCCCGCACTCATTCAAAACCCTTAGGACCCTCTCCTCTTACCCCTTCTTCTCTAACCGCATCCTCTTCCAACTTCTTTCATCCGACCTCATTCAACCTGCTTGTCTTGGGAAAGGAGCTCATATTTGTAATAGGAAGAAGGGGGTTTTTAGGAAAACTCAAAGTGGATTGGGGTTTTAGTAAGTTGGGATTTAGAGAGTAGGCTGATTTGAAAATTTGGGTCAAAAGGGGTAATTTTGTAATTTAAGGCTTGGGAGTAAATTGGTAATTTGGGAAAAGAGGGCAACCTGGTAAATTGGAGATTAAAAGGTAATTTGGCAACCTCGCGTTTGAAGGGGTAGGTTTAGAGTGTATTTAGGTAATTTGGCCAACGGGTATTTTGATAATTTTGGTTAAAGGGTATTTTAGGGATTTAGGGATGAAGGATATTTTGGTTATTTGGTCAAGGTAAGCTCTAGAAATTTGGAAGAAGGGGCATTTTGGTAATTTGGAAGGGGGCATTTTTGGTAATTTGGTCAAGTGATATTGTGGTAATTTGGAATAGGGAATATCTTAGTCAAGGGTACTTTAGGAATTTTAGAAAAAGGGTATTTTGGAAATTTGGTCGAGGGTATTTTGGTAATTCGGAGTGGGGATATTTTAGGAGTTTGGTTTAAGGGGTATTTTGGTAATTTGGAGGAAGAGGGTTCTCGATAATTTGGTCAAGGGATATTTTTGTAATTTGGAAGGGGCATTTTGGTAATTTTGGTGTCAGGTGAGATCAACARTGGATTTTGAGGATTTAGGGGTTAAGACTTGGGTTCTTGGGGTTTTGGAAGAACCAAAATAGGTTGAACGTTGTTCGAGGTTAGTTAGGGGTTTAAACAGAGGACCAAGAAAAAATCGGGTGCTAATAGTTGCCTCTCTTTGTTGTGAGGTTGGAAACTATAAAATAACAAAGACAAAAAACAAGCATACATAAATTTTTGCGAAAGGGTAAGCTTGGAAGAGGGGTGAGATGAGGAAAGATGAGTGTGAGCATCGAAAAATGGCTCACTTTGCCACTTGGGCTGGAAATGGAGTCACCACCCATCAAATACAGAATTGGAGGTGATGGGACCTTTGAGATCAATATAAAAAATCATGTTCAGTTAAGCCCAGGCACTAGCTACACCGGTCTAGATAGGGGTTAGGCACCCCTCTCCCGGATCCAATAGGTGGGGCCCACATGAAACTCATCGGCACTTAATACAAAACCGAAATGATTAATTAAACAAACAATAGTTATCTAATAGAAGGAAGGCATTTAAATGACAAACAAGAACTAAGCAATAAAAATATGCAGAAGTGTCCAACGCATGCATATTGATGTAGGGTGGCCCAGCCCAGCCCACGAGCGCCAGAACCAGGGACGTGACTGGTCATAGTAGGGGCTACACTGCACCCCTCGTATGGAGCCAATCGTGGAGCGCCCACGCGTCCCCACAGAACTCTCTGACTACCCTCATACGGCTCTCATCTTAGGCATCCATCTCCACCAACCTCTAGGCAGCTCAAGTATAAATAGGGGGTACTCCCCTCTAGGTGAGGGATCCTGATCCTGAAATCTGGTCCTACTATAAAACTTAAGTGTCCTCACTTTGGGTCAGTATCTACAAGTAGACTCCTCAGAGCCCTCGTCTTTACTTGATTCCCCTCTTTGTACCCTAAAATTGACTTGACCGATGGAGCCTCCGCCTTAGGTTCTTACCCGAGGCCTCTGACATCATTTGTCTTGTAGCACCTTAGCTATCAGCCTCGGCCTCCAGTCCTCGGTCTCAGCACCTCTTCCTCGAATCCTTCAAAGCCCTCGGCCCACCATCAGAGCTCAGGGGTGAAATTACTTTGTTGTCCTCGACCAACCCGAGTATCAACACATATTTCCCCTATTGAAAATATTGATGCATTAGCACTCTCAAAGCATCAATTGGATCAAAYAAAACTAAACAAAGCATACTTCATCATGAACAAGCATGTATAAGCTAGTTTAGAAACCATTATTTCAGAAATCACTAACTTAAAGAAAAAAATAAAATAAAATAACAAACGACAAGAAAATGTCACAATTGAAATTAAGCCTCTATAATCAAATTTGAAGAAACCTATACCAATCTGAGAACCAAAATCAAAGTAGTGCAGAACTAAACAATTATATCCTAATCAACATTAACTCTAACAACACATGAAGCATAGTAAATTCTAGGTCAAATTGGGCTGAAGACCAGATCTACTGGGGTGAGTTCGGTGGAACCTACTCCATCGATCTGTTCCCCAACCTGTAATCGTCTCTGATAGAGATGGAACAAGAAGACTGGGTTCGCATTACCTGAGGATGTATTGGCTGATTGGTTAATATTGCAGATGGAAGTTCTAGTGAGTCCGATGTGCTCCGGGGGTTTAGATCAGATTATAGAGGTCGATTGAATCCTGCTTCCACCTTCTAAATTGGAGCAAGCTGGGGCTATCCACTACAACTTGCCTGACTCAAGCTCACAAATAGGGGAGGTCTCGGTCTGCTACCGAATTCCGAGAGTGGAACAAGAGAAGAAACGACTGAGAAAAGGTGGAAAAATGAGAGGCAATGCCAAAAGCGACGGAGCCTTTACTAGGTCTGGTAGAAAATGATGCTTCCGTTAATGACTGTGGGCTCTGTTCTTCATAGAAAGGGGGAACGATGATCGGAGCAAGGAGGGGTGATTTGGTTGGAATATAAGTAGAAGTTGAAGGAAGGAAGGTTTGCCGCTGCCTCTCATTCAAACCCGCCATGAGGAAGAGGAAGGATGATCGGTCAAAGCCGAGAAACTACTGCTGCTACTAGAAGTTGCAGCAGCGGTGGTCGTTTCAGTCACGCTGCTCTGGTTCACCATGAATCGCCACCGCTCTCGTTCTCTGTTCTTTTGCGGATGGGGAAGAAAGGAAGTATTTGCTCATCGACTTGATTTCAGCAGTTCAGTGTTGGAAAAGGAATAAGAAGACAGGGGGAAAGAGGGTGAGAGGAAGTGGGAGATCAACTTTGGGTTCGTTGCTGCTGGTTTCGTTTGAACAGGGGAAGAGGAGAACAATCGATCGATTGGAGAAAGATAGTGAATAGTGTTGATCCTCCTTAATGAGAAAGATAGGTTAAATTTTATATTAGGGATAAGGGGTAGTTTTGTAAATTCAGGAAAATCTAGGGGTATTTTGGTAGTTCTGAAAAAGTTGGGTCAAATCGGGTATAAAGGGGTTAGGCCGGGTTTTTGGTTCAATGGTGGGGATTTTTGGGTAAAAAAATGGAAGGTTGAGATGGGTCTTGTGTGTTGAAGACCGAAATAAAATCTTTTTACATGGAAGGGTAAATGAGGGTAGTTTTGAATGAAATTTCATGGGACGGGGTTTTTGGACATTCTGGGTTGATTTGAGGGGTCAGATTGGCCCAACTAGGCCTAGATTGGGCAGATCTGGAAAGGGTTCAATTTGGTTAATCTAGGGGCTCGAAATGAAATATTTGTGTGATGAAGGGGAAAATAAARGTAGTTTTGGGTGAAATTTCTTAGGGTAGGGTTTTTGTGTAGTCATGATTGGTAAAATCAGATTGAGCCAACTGAGCCCACATCAAGCATATTTGTAATCTAGTCATTTTGGAACCTCGAAATAGAATCTTGGTATGATTGAGGGTAAATGGAGGTGTTTTGGGCTGGAATTTCATATGTAGGGGTTTTTTGGTATTTTGGGGTGATTAGAAAAGTTTGATTGGTTTAGATGTGTTCGGACCAAGTGGATATGGTTTGTGGGTGCGAGAATGGTCGAAATGGAATCTTTGTTTGATGGACGGGTGAACGAAGGAATCTTGAGTTCAAATTTCATGGGTAGGTGTTTTGGAATGTCCTGGGCTGATGGTTGCGTCTGATCTAATGGTTGAGGTGTAAGTGAGGGTCAATCGGGGCCATCGGATAGGTATCGGGCAAGTTTAACTGTTGATCTAAGGGCTCTCAGGGTGAAATTTGGTTTTTTTTTGGGTTTTTGGGTGTTTCAGAGAGGTCGAAAGGGTCTGATCGAGTGTTTGGGGGTGAATTAGAGGTTTAGGTAGCAAATCGAGCATAAATCGGGTGTTGACAATGAGGAAGGAGAATTAATGTGAAGGAGAAAGGTTTTCGTACAAGCCATTTTATTCTTGGAAAAGTGACCTCTTCTAGGTATCAAGACCTTCAGAGTTCGGACTCAGGGTACCATTGTTATAAAAGAAAACACTAAAAGCAACTTGTAAAAACTATTTACTCGTGGCAAAGTGACCCCCTCGTAGGTATCAGAAACCTTATGGAACTAGGGTACATTTACCGTAAAGAAAGGCATTAAATGATAAGCAATGCACAACATTGAAAGCAACTCAAGAAAAGAATACTTAAGCTTATTGCAAATCACAATCATAGATATTGGCAGAGGTCCTGTGGTTGATAAGGCATAACTGCTCTTTTGTTAGGTGAGGGGCATCCTTACATACTATAGTAGTCTACGCTCGAAAACTCTGATAAAACACTTGTTAAATCTGATGAGGGTGCAAAGTGTGGTGCATTTAAGTTTGTGGCAATGTCATTAAGATGCCAATGCATGATTAACATGATTCTCTAAGTTAATATTTTCATCTATGCTCCTTAGGGGATGATGGAGAATTTCAACACAATAGTGAGATCATTAGAGGTTGTAAGATTTCTAGACATGTTGCCATATGCTTAGAAATGAGGGAGGACCTGCCATCAAGATTTTCATTGTCAAAGTTTTTTTTTTAATGATATGTTGTGTTGCATTTTGATATAGAAACATTGATAAAAATGTGTGTTATTCCATGGATCAAATAGTAATCTACTGTAAATCAGGAAATCAACAAGATTTGTGCTACTCGATGATGCAAAACAATTTTAATTTCTTCTCCATAAGGGAACTTTAGCGCCGCACGCTGCAAGGGACTTTACTGTCAGGAGGTACCTTGATGCCATGACTRACTTTGTTGCCACAAGGGAACCCAGGAATTTTAACAATGAGAATGCTTAACCTTACTTTTCACACTCTTGAAACAAAAATAACTGATACTGCTAGATCCTAGGTAGTGCAAGAACCGAGGTCACAGCTAGATAATCCTTGCCAAGGTGGAAGGACGGAGCCACACAATGAGATCTGAAACCAAGAAAAGGTCAGAGGCTTGAGGAGTTATCCCTGAGTAGATACTCTGACGCTCAAGTCAGTAGAAAGTAGTGGGCGGTCGGGCCGAGCAGTTAAAGAATGGTGTTGGTCCGAGTAGAGTAACAGTATGGGAGCCAAAAGTTAGATCCTTTACATTGAGCAGGAGATATCTTTTATAGCCGATGATTCGTGTCCTAATTGGATGAGGCTTCCGAGGTTGTCGAGATAAGGTTACTCATTGAGGTCTTCGAGATAGGACCTAATCCCTAGCGAAGTTGTCCCCATCTGCGTGATGATCTCCTGTCTTGGTCACACTTATCCACATGGCATGGCGCCAACGTGGTTGAAGAGATAAGGTGGGGCCGCGGAGGTGACGTGGTGCTGATGTGGCCGAGGAGATAAGCTGGACCACGGAAGTGATGCGGCGCTGACGTGGTCAAAGAGATAAGGCAGCCACGTAGGTGACACGTGGCATCCAGAGCTAGCTCAACCATAACTTGGACACCACTCCACCATTTCCAAAGTCGAGGAGTGAAGTGCTTGGCCGCAGTGTGGCGTAGAAGAGTTCTTTGATTCTCGGTTGAAGAACTTGAAGTTGAATTTTGGTTGAACATTTGATTCGGACCACACGACTCAGGGTTGGACTAGTTTTTCTAGATGAACCGGTTGGATCAACATAGATCCCAATTCCGAAATGGGTTGTTAGATGTGTCGTTTTGCTTCTCGAGGCTCTATGCGTACAAAGGGTGATTGCGCCGATTGGCCTTCCCTAGCTTGTCAGAGCGGTGATTGATCGATCTTGTTTTGACCTGGATCGTCGAGAACTCTATAAATAGGGGGGAAAGGCATTTCCCCTTCGTCATTTGCAAAAGAAGTCACTTGGAGAGATCGCGAGAAGTAGTCTTCGGTGCTCAGTGTTTCCTTCAGTTACGCAGCCTTAGCCTGCAAGGTTGAGTAAGATGTCTTCCTCGTCCTTTTGTTCTTCCTCTTTCTCTGATTTCCCTTCTTCCTATTATGAGTCCGAGTTGTGGTCTTTCAACAAGGTTGTCGTGCCCGATGTTCCTGAGGCTAATGACAAGGGGCCAAGGCAGAGAAGAACACTCCCACTTCTAAAGGCCAGAGGGCGGTCACCGAACTCCACATACCTTGCCGACAAAGTGTCATACCTAAGCTAGACGAAGAACGGCCAGCCCACTAAGAGCCAAAAGCTCCCAAGACCGGTAACTAAGCGTCTCCAAAAGAGGAGAGCTCGGAAAGAACTTCAAACAAGCAAGCCAAAGACCAAAGATCTCAACCACTCCCGACCTTGGTCATGATAAGACCGAGGYCTACAACTTAGTAAAAAAGAGAGAGAAAAAAAGGGGAGCACACAAGCTTAGAACAAAAAAAAGGCATCTTTCTCATTAATTAAAAGTTTGTACATAATTTCAAGCTCRACATACCAAACCATTTACATCATAAAAAAAAGGGAAGACAACGTCAACAGTGCAGAACAAAAATCCAGACAAGTATTAGCACTAGTAGACAAGCACTTCAATCCTCGGCAGGGCAGTCATCGGTCTCTTCATTCTCCTCGGGCACGTCCATGGCGGCTATGTTATCCATGACAGGAGGGGTCTCAGCATCATAAGGACCCAAGCCTTGCGCAACCTTAGCGATGCCGGGGAATCATCATAGAATCTTGTTCTAGAAGAGATTGAACCCCATCTCGAAGGAACGCGCAACGTAGTCGTCAATTTCATTATGGTACTCCTTCGAGCCCCTAAACCGAGCAATTGCCTACTCACTTGCCCAGGCTTCCCAGTCAGCAGCCTCCTTCTTTAGTTGCTTTCGCGCAGCTTTCAACTCGATGATACACCCCTTCAGATTATGGATGGTGTCAGATCGCTYCGTGATGTCGCGCTTAAGCTCAACCACTTCAAATTCCAACGCAGTCTTTCGCTCATTGGCCGCCTTGAGCTCAGCCAACTGAGCCTTCAAGTTCAGGACCTTGGTGTGGCTTGCATCATAAAGGCTCCATAATGACTGAAGACAGTCAACCACCGCAATCGCCGAACAAGCACTCTGCAAGAGAAAAACCAAGTGTCAGCACAACCAACTTCAACCAAACAAAGTGAGAAACTAAGTACAAGCATGGACTTACCGATGCTCTCCAGGGCTCCACTCGTGGACTCCACTGCCTCCCGCCTCATGGCCTGTGTCAAGATGCCACGAAGAAGTTGCTTGGGCACACCCTCCTTTTCGAGCCCATCCTCAAAACAGACGCTCCACTACGACATGTGATGAGAAGGACTGAYGCCCCTTGGTGCATTCACTCATGGGGATAGCCTGGGTACCCTCCTCCAGGTTGACCACCACGACCTCTTCCTTTCGGTAAACCTCGGTGACACCGCCTCAGTCTGGGGCTGGTCCCTCTGAGCACCTCGGCTATGCCTATCCTACCCAACCCTCATCTAGTGAAGGATCTCCTCTTGACTTGCCATCTTAGCACCTACACTAAAATAAGCATCCAATTAGTAAATCATTAGCTTGGAAAAATAAAGAGATCAACAAATAAAGGACCGAAGCAATGAAATAGACCAGCCTCCTCGCTCATCAGCCCGACACGGATCAACATCGAGAAGGACATGTAGCGCATTACGTTGATCTCCTTAATCATGCCTATCGCCGCCCTCTCCTCCTTAGTGAGTCGGGCTCAAGCACGCTGCGACACCTTAGTCCTCGGTACCTGGAGCATGGCCGGTGGAGGTGAGCCCCCAAGACAATGCACAAAGAAGAATCTCTCCTTCTAGTGCTTTACCAAGGACGAGGTCCCGACCAGTACCTTAATGCRCTGCCTGGCCGAGAAGTAGTAGTACCCCTGTTGGTGATGCTTCATTTGTAGGAAATAGTTAACCATCCCCAAGGTAAGCTTGACATCATGGATAAAATAGTAGGACATAAGGCCGATCAAGAACCTAAAGGAGTTCGGCATTAGCTACACTGGTAGTACTCGGTACCACTCGAACACCCCGACTACCCCTGTCGTGTAATGGAAACCTCAACCCGGACTCTAGACTTTATCATACATACAGAGCTCGCTTGGCTGAGCATCTATGGGCTTCTCACCATTCCTCAGACACCTCAGCTCATATTCTTCGGGGATGCAATACAAAGTCCAAATTGGCGGTCAGCCCGTGCAGGAAGCTCGACCTCTACAGTCGACGGCCCCGCCTCAGCCTCCTCAGCCTCGGCAACCCTAGCAGAATCTACCCCCTCAAAGTCTTTGGCCTTAGCCCCCTGGCTGTCAGCCTTAGGAACATTGGGCACAGCTATCTCGGTGAAAGACCTCAGCTCGGACTCATAATAGGAAGAAGGGAAATCAGAGGAAGAGGAAGAATGGAAGGACAATAAAGACATCTTATCGAATCTTGCAGGCTAAGGCCGCGCAACTGAAGCAAACACCGAGCACCAAAGACTACTCCTCGCCGAGCTCTCCAAGTGACTTCATTCGCAAATGATGAAGGGGAAATGCTCTTCCCCCCAATTTATAGGTTTCTTGACGATCCATATCAGAACAAGATTGACGACGAAGATCAAGTGCCGCTTTGACAAGCTTGGGAAGGCCAATTGACGCAACCGCCCATCGCACACGTAGAGCCTCGGGAAGCGAAACGACACATCTGATAACTCGTTTCAGAAATGGGATCTTCATTAAGCCAACTGGTTCATCTAGAAAAACCGGTCCAACTCCRAGCCACGTGGTCTGAATCAAATGTTCAACCAAATTTCAACTTCAAGTTCCTCAGCCGAGAACCAAAGAACTCTTCCATGCCACACTGCGGCCAAGAACTTCACTCTTCGACTTTGAAATTTGGGGAGTGGTGTTCGGGTTATAGTTGAGTTGGCTCCAGATGCCACGTATCGCCTACGTGGCTGCCTTATCTCTTCGGCCATGTCAACACCGTGCCACCTCCATGATCCAGCTTATCTCCTTGGCCACGTCAGCACCGCATCACCTATGCGGCCCCACCTTATCTCTTCAACCACGTTGGTGCCACACCATGTGGATAAGCGTGACCAAGACAGGAGATCATCGTATGAATGGGGACAACTCTGCTAGGGATTAGGTCTTATCCCAAAAACCTCAGCGAGTAACCTCATCCCGACAACCCCGGAAGCCTTATCCGATCAGGACACTAATCATTGGCTATAAAAGGTATCTCCCATTCAAGGTAAAGAATCTAAATTTTGATTCCCATATTGTTACTTTGCTCGGACCAACACCGTTCTCTAACTGCTCGGCCCGACAATCCACTACTTTCTATTGACTTGAGCATCGGAGTATCTACCCAGGGATAACTCCTTAGGCCTCTGACATTTTCTTGGTTTCAAATCTCATTGTGCGGCTTCGTCTTTCCACCTCTGCTCCGCCTAGTTGGTAAGGATTATCTGACTGTGACCTCGATTCTTGCACTACCTAGGATCGAGCAGTATCAAGAACAATTTCAAAATCATCATTCTTTGAACACTTAAAACAACAAGAACCTAAAACCCAGAAATTTCAGCAATGAAAATACTTTCAAAATCATCAATTTTTTGCACACTTGAGACAATAAAAACCTAAAAACCGAAAAATTTCAGCAATGAGAATGCTTTCAAAATCATTATTTTTTTTGCACACTTGAGACAATAACAACCTAAAAACCCAAAAATTTTAGCAAGGAAAATGCTTTGAAAATCATCTTTTTTTGCACACTTGAGACAATAACAACCTRGAAACCCAAAAATTTCAGCAATGAAAACGCTTTCAAAATCATAATGATTTTCAGTTTTATTACCATAGTATCGAATTGGGATTTGCTTATAGAAGAATTAATTTTGGTAGAACTACCACAGTATCGAATTGGGATTTTCTTATAGAAGAATTAACTTTGGCTGTTGGGGGCGTATTTAAAGCTGGACATGTTTATAATTCATGCCCATGTCTATGTTTATGATTAAAAAAAAATAGGGATAATTGCCATTTAACCCTATGGTAACGTGGCATTTGTAAAAATGTTTTCAATAATACAGGTTGTTGTCTCTCAACGGCCAAAGTTAATGCTCACCTCACATTCACACTTATGAATAATAATGTTTTCAATAATACAGGTTGTTGGCTCTCAACGGCCAAAGTTTATGTTCACCTCACACTCACACTTATGAATAATAATGTCAGCAGCACATAAGGGATGGGGAGCCTCGCAGGTGCCCCCCCCCCCATATGCACGTTTCAACGTGCATTGAGGACATCCTTATAACGGTGGGGGGCTGATGTGAACTCGATGTTCCGAATGTGCGAAGAGATACTGTGAGGTTGGTGTAGGAGCAAATCCGGATTACTGTCGAATCTGCTCCGTACATTACGCTCCTGACACTTTCCTCACATAGTGCACATCTCAGCGTGTATTGTGAATTCGTTTTGGACTTATTTCGTTTACTCTTTACCCCATCACGGAAAAAAAATGACCCAGTAATGCGAGTTCGTTGGTGAGGGGTCGAATGTTCGAACAAATGCCACGTTTATGAAAACTGACAATTTGCTCCGTGGTTTACTGGATTCAGATAAAAGTGGAAAACAGGAAAAATTTCTTCTGGGGTTCATTGCAGTGTTTTATTTATTACTCTGAGCTCTGAAGAACTGCTGCATTCTTGATATTGGATTTGGTTTCTAATTCTACTTTCTCGATAGTTGGTTTTCCTTCTTCTTGTGAGTATGGCGGGGAAGGTTATGAAAGCTGTTCGTTATGAGGCTTATGGTGGTGGATCAGCTGGTTTGAAGGTAATCTTTAATTTTCTATTTCCTCCAGTCTTTTTACTTCTTTAGTTTTTTGCTTTTTTTTTTGGATAAGATTTATTGGGTTTCTCTGTTAGTTTGGTTTAATCTCCAAAATTTGGTTTTAATCTATAAATTTGTTCTTTCTTCTTTAGGCTGAATTATGTGTTTTTTGGGTTGAAGGGGTTCTTTCATTATACATTTTCTTTAACCGGAAGTTCTGGCTAATTCAATATTTGTTTATTTTAATGAAATAATTTTCAATTATTGGAACCTCGATAAGGATAGGTAGATATATAAAAAGATGTAGTAACTCACTGATGATGAAAATTGGAAAAGAAAAAGAAAGGGATGGGAAGAAAATAGGAGCAAAGATACTGATACAGAGAATATATTGCTTAGATAAAGAAGAAATTAATGATGGAAGGGGTAGGGGATTATATACACTGGGTTCAGAGTTTAAGACCCATTAGACTTGTTCTTTTCTAGAGTTGTCCCTACATGCTGTTAGGGAAGAGCTTATGATGAAGAAGATGTTGCAAAAGGAAAAGAATCATGATAATGTTTAGAGCGCTATTTTGTTTACCTTTTATTTTAAGATCCTAGATGAGCTTAATTAGTGTTTCAGATTTTTTTTTTCCAGATAAATTAGTGTTTCAGAATATTAGTAAACTTAAATAATAAAAAAAGAATATTAATAAACTTAACGTATCAAAAAAAAATATTAATAAACTTAACTTATCCATAAAAATATTAATAAACTTAGAAAGTTGAAAAAAAAGGTTGAATTAAGCATGCGACTTGTTTTTGGAAGGTAAATATAGGCGTTATATTGTATTCAGTGTTGTTAAGGTGGCTAGATGATGTCTATGCCTTTTACCTAGCAATGCATAAGTGAAAACTAACAGTCGCCTAGGCTAAATAAATAAACAAAGAAAGAAATAAAGAAATATTGTTATAAAATTATTTAAAAATAGCAAGGCACAAGTCTTGATAAATGGTGCTTAATATCTAAAATAACATATCAGAGTATGATACAAGCATATCATATGCGATAAATGTACCCATATCCGTGTTTGGAATTTTAGGGGATGGAGAGTCATTTTATTTTATTTTTTGATAGGTAAAAAAGAAAAATTTCATTAAGGTAACAGAAAAATACAAGGAGAAGGTGATGAGTCATCACCCAATTACAAGCAAGAATGTTCTGAATTTCCAGCACTTCCCCTAAATTTTCCCCCAGATCCCTTCTATTAATGTGTCTGTACTCTGGATGAGCCATAACCCAATCAGCAATTGACTTGCTTATAGCAGCCACAATCCTATTTATGTTATAGAATTTGGCTTAAAAAATTCTTCTATTCCTCTCCTTCCACAAGTTCCAACATATTGCAAAGGGTATGCAGCTCCAAAACACCTTAACCTTCTTGGAACCTCTTAACTTCGGCCAAGCAGGAAAGATTTCTGAAGCAGAATTTGGCAGAAAGTCAGGTACCCCAAACATTTTGGTGAACAGTCTCCATAGGAAATCTGCAAACTTGCATGTGATAAACAGATGTCTGACATTCTCTTCTTGTTCCTCGCAAAGACAGCAAACCTATTCGCCATACTGAAGCCTCTTGATTTTAGATGATCCACTGTTAGAATGTTGTCCATTGCCAGTAGCCAAGCAAATGCTTCTACCCTTGGGGGAACCGGACTTCCCTATACTCCTGACTGGATTGGATTCAAACTGTTTCTGTAATGTGCTAGATAACATGACTTCACTGAAAATTTGCCATTTGAGCACTCCTTTCACCAGAGTTCATCCCTCCTCTGAGGAGAAATCATCACCTCATTTAATTTTCCCAACAAATTTATGCACTCTACCTCTCTATCCAGCAGAGGCTGCCTGAATTTTGGATTCCATATCAACTGATCTCCTCTTCTTTCATAGCGGCTACTAGTAGTAGTTTCAGCCTCAGCCAGCTTATACAATCTTGGGGACAACTCCATTAGCTTGCCAACCCTACTCCAATCATCCTCCCAAAACCTGATTTTTGAACCATCTCCTACTGAGAAGTTTATTAGGCTTCTAAATTCCCCATTAAAACTCAATCCTCTTCCAAACACTCACCCCATATTATGACCTTACTTCTCTAGGCTCCCAACCCAACCTTACCACCCCATATTTCCCCAACACCACCCTCTTCCACAAGGACTCGTCTTCTCTCTCCCTAACCCAAACCTCCATAACCATTTCCCCAACAAAGCCCCGTTGAAAACTCTCAGCATTCTAATCCCTAGTCCTCTCTCTTTCTTTGGTCTGCATACCTTGTCCCGCCTCACCAAATGGAATTTTTTCCCCTGCCCCCCTTCCCAATCCCTCGCTAAGGAAATCTCTTTGTATTTTCTCTATTCTTTCGGCCACCTAAGATGGAACTTTCAACAAGGACAAGTAGTAAGTTGGAAGACTAGAGAGGACACTTTTAATTAATGTTATCCTCCCTCCCAATGAGAGGTATTTTGACTTCCACCCATCCAACCTCCTTTCAACTCTCTCCACTATTGGTCTCCGTAAGACACCAGAATTTGAAGCCCCTCCTATTGGTATTCCCAAATATGTGAATGGAAGCTTTCCAATTCTGCACTCAAAAGCATTAGCACAGACCTCCTCAACTTCTCCACTCCAATTACCACACTTTTTGCAAGATTAACCTTCAGACCTGATAACGGCTCAAAGTTTGCGAAAATTGCCCTTAAATTTAACACTTGATCCACTGAAGTATCCAGGAAATTCAAAAGTGTCATCTGCATACTGCAGATGAGATATGCAAGGGCCATCCCTTCCTGCCTTAAAACCCTCAGTTAAACCCCTTTGCCCACTACTCCATAACAGTAGATTCAGGATCTCCATAAATAACACTGTTAGAGTCGACTAAAGAGGGGTATTTTGGTCTTTTCCCCTAAGTAAAGTGTTAGCTGTATGTCTCCTCATATGCCGGGGCATTTCAGTCCTTGTAACTTTTATTTTTGGTAATGTTTAAGCATGGTTGACTGGGATAGATGAACAGTCTTCTCAGTTCGACATTATCCCCCTTCTTCTCCCTCTTCTCTTCTTTCTTCCTCTTTTCTCAGTTCGGCTGAACAGAACAAACATGGTATCAGAGTGCCATTGACAGCAGTCGATTACAGCTTCCTCAACTAATATTTCTCAGTTCTTCTTTTTTCTTTCATTTTTTTTCTGGTACGAGAAATCTGGGGTAGAAGACTGCGGCACAACCCAGATTCCTGCGACAACCTCTAGGGTTTGAGAGGTTTGACTTCTGGTGACAGGAAAAGAGGACAACAGTCGAGTGACCAGAAAAAAAAGGGTTTATTTTTTTTGTGTAGAGTGCTGCCACCATCGGTGTGACAGCTGTGGTGGTCGAGTAGGTGCAGTCGTGGTGGTCTGAACACACTAATTAGTAGTTTCAAGAGGGATTCTTTGTGGTTTTAAATCTGCATGTTAGCAGTACAGTGGTGGTTGAAGTGGCCGAATGTATGCTAAGGCCAGTACTTAGTGATTGCAAGTGTGCTTGTGTGGTAGCTAACGAACTGTAGTGCAGTGGTTGGAACTGTTTTTTTTTTTTTTGTGTGTGACGGGTGGAACCGACTTTGTAGACTGAAATGGCTTTGTTGGGAGATGCGAGTGGTGACCAGAAATCAAGTGTCATGATTTCCTCTGATTTTTTTTTTTTAAATGTCCAGATGACCTCCATCAAACTTAATGGTRAAAACTATGTTCCGTGGGCCAAGTCAGTGGAGGTGTTTTTGAAGGCTAAGAAGAAAGTGAAGTATGTACGAGAGGAGAAGCCTAGTGCTGAATCCCCAGGTTTTAGTGATTGGGAGCAAGAGGATGCTCAAATTATGACGTGGTTGTGGAATAGTATGGAGCCTAGAATCAGTGTTAATTTCATGTTTTTAGATACAACAAGGGATATATGGGAACATGCCAAGAAACTCTACTATGGACAAGACAACACCACAAGGGTTTATCAGTTTTATCAGGAATACTTAAATTTGCAGTAGGGAAACCAGAATCTTGAAGAATATTATGCTAGTATGAAGAATATTTGGAATGAACTTAATGTCTATCATCCCTTAAAACCAGACGTTAAGATTTAGTAACAACAAAGGGAACAACTAGATGTTACTCGGTTCTTGGTGGGACTGAAAGCAGAATATGAACCTGTTAGAGCACAGATATTGGGAGGATCTGCTCTCCCTACTCTAGAAGAGGTGTTTGCTCATCTCCGTAGGATATCTCTTGCCCCCACAAAGTGTAACATACATTCCCATAGATCAACACTTGTTGGCACTCGAGGTGGTTCCTATGGGCACAGAGGATGTGGTCGTACAGTTAAGGGAGGCCATGGTAACCCTATGGGTGGTCGTGGTGGTAGAGGAGGTCGTGATTCAAAGGGGAGGCTGTGGCAGAGGAAGGAGGAGCACTACTAGAAAATGCACACATTGTTGGAGAGGACACACAATTAACTTCTGCTATGATTTGCATGGCCCACCATCAACATGGGCTAATCATGCAGCTTTTGGTGGTAGTGAAGTCAGTGATATTCAACCAGTTGATCTAGCATCCTCTACAATCACAATTACTTCTAGGAAGGAGATGATGAGTATTCCAAGAGAGGAGTATGAGAGATTTCTTCAGGCTACCTCACATTAGAATACTACCACTCTTGCTCATTCAGGTATAGCTTACCTAGCATCTAAACCTTCACCCTGGATAATTGACGCTAGAGCCTCTGATAACATGACCGGGACTTTAGGTGTGTTTTCCTCCCTTTCTCCAACTTCTACATCAAATAATGTGGCCCTTGCCAATAGATCTACTTCCCCCATCTATGGTGTTGGTAATGTTAACACATCATCTCTTTCTTTGACTTCTGTTTTATACGTTCCCAAGTTTCCTTTCAATCTTATGTTTGTTAGTAAACTAACCAAATCCCTCAATTGTTCTATCACATTTT